TCTATCTATCTATCTATCTATCTATCTATCTATCTATCATCTATCCACATTAGTCTCTCTCTCTCTTTCCATACACACCATACACACACACATCCCCCAATCTCTCTTTCCATCTATCTACACCTCTCTCTCTGTCACACACACACACACACACACACACACACTCCTTTTTAATATACTGGAATACCCTCTCACATACTTTGGTCATATTGCCAAGAGGGCAGAGGAACAGCACAGGAGAAGAACATCCTGCATGAGATGGATTGGCACAATGGCTGGGGTAATAGGGGCTGAAGTATCAAGATAGGACAGAGTTCAGAGCTATTGTGCATAGGGTCACTATGAGTCATAGAGTGACTTGACAGCACATAACAATGATTGCATCATTTAAAGAGGAAAAGAATACTACAAAAGTGGAGAGCATTATGCTGAGTGAATTAACTCAGTACCACAAGGACAAATACTGTAGAAAACTATTATGGTAGAATGAGTATGAGGATACAAGGGGAGAGAGTGGAAGCAGAGGGCGGGTGGGTGGTGTGGGATGTTAATCATAGGGTTGTGCAATTTGATGGGTGGGGGGTGTGTGTGAAAGAAATGGGAAGGGTCTTGTGTGAAAAACAATGTATTAGAACTTTGTAAATGAATTAGTATAAAATTTAAAAAAGAACTAAAAACTTTTAAAAATCCAGATACTGTTAGAAATTGGTCATATTTACTTCAGATCAACTTGGAGTCACTTTTTTACTCATCAGTAATACCACTCACTTTCCTCTTTTCCCAGAGATAGCCAATAAATTAATATTGCTATGATTTATGTATGAACATATAAAGCATTAACCTATGTTTTCAAAATTTGCTTAATATCATTGTACATAACCTATTAACCCAATTTGCACTCTCGGTCTTATATTGTTAGCATAAATCAACATTTAGTGAGTAAAGAAATTTTTTAAAACTTATTGTAGTATTTTATCCTTTAAGATGAACTAATTCCATTAGTTAATGCATTCCCATACTGATAAGAATTAACAGATGAGTTATTGGTAAATGTTAATTCCTATGTTATATTGTGATCGCTATGTGCAAAAGAGTTTCCTTAGGACACATAGCTAGCAGTTAAGTTTTTAAGTTATTGTATGCAGGTAACTCCAGCTTAGTTTACCTAATTGCTCTCCAAAATAATTGTGGCAATTTATACTCAAAAAGCCAGGTAGAAGTTGCATTTATTGTGATAGTGGGTATTTTCAAACTTAAGAACTTCAGCAAATTTTATTTTATCTGAGATTTTTCCTTACTAATAGTAGATTTTTTAAAAATAGTAGATGTTTGTTTGTTTTATGCTTTAATTAAAACTTAATTTTCTCCTTTTATCACTTGCCTTCTCAATGGCATCTAATAGTAAAAAAAAAATCACAAAACCAACAATCTCTGCTTATTGTCTTTGCTCTTTGTATTACTGAATTTTCATTTTTTCTTCTGAGTTTGAGAGAATTATTTTTATATTTTGTAAAGTTGGCTTTTTAATATCTTTTACAATACTTATTATCCTATCAGCTTAAAAAATATTTTTGTTGTGACTTGTACAGATTTAACTTTGGTATTATATAGTCTTCTGATCTTACGATCTCATGATCTATCTTACTACTTTCCTATGTATCTTCCAATGAGAAAATTAAATTTTATTGGGAACTATGCTTGGACTAGCATTTAATTTAGAGATAAATTTAAAGATATGTGGCATCTTTTATTTTTTAATAATCATATAAGGATATACAATGTAAATTCCATTTTATAATAGTTTAGTCCAATTTTATATATTTATAAAAGTCTTTTATACCTTTTATCAAATGTCTTATTAATTAATTGCTTTTTCTGTATGTGTTGGTGCCACTGAGTTGTAGATGACTCATAGCAAACCTAAGAACAAAAGACCTGAGCACTTGTGTAACTTTCATTGTTTCTCCAAGTTCATAGAGTTTCTGGAGGCATGCCACTCCTGCTTCCAAGCTTGTTTTGATCAGGGAGCTGCACCAAACACAGTCCATCCTGGGTAACCATTATCACATTTTACACATCAGTGTCACAATGTTTAGCATCACAGCAACCACAAGTTACCTCTATACAGCAAAAGGAAAGACCAGTGTTATACCACTTATAAGACTGTTTGACCAAAAACAATTAAAACCAGGCTTGAGGGCTGCAGAAGAGGAGCCCAAATGCCTTTTTAAATAGAGGGCTGAATACAATCAACTCACACCCAAAGGCTAATAAACATTTTATGCACCCTATGTCTCACCAGAACCAGAAATCCTTTCTGTATGTATGAGGTATAATTGAATTTTTAAACAATTATAGTTATGATATTAGATGTGTTACTGATTGACTTTTGTTGTTTTTATTTAAACAGTATTTTTAGAATAAATACTGTTCAACTTAAAAACTCAATGTTTCAAAGGATTACTAAAAAAAGTACCCACTAATAAGCAGCCAATGTAATTAATTTAATATTTACCACTTCTGAGATATGTTATGTCTTTATGTAGGCAAATATTTAATATATTATACTATATAAATGTCTATACATATACAGACAAGTAACTATATATGTACATGAATTTATTTATATGTACTTCTAAAGAAAATGTCAATATAACACTCATATTTATTTGAAACTTCTTTTTTATTTAATAACATGAGTTCTAATTTTTTATATCAGTATACAAATTATTTTCTATTCCTCATTGTAGTTATAAGGATTCTATACTGTGGATTATTTAGGAATTGTTTTATTTTATTAATAATTTGAAAAAAATATATTGCTTCTAAGACCTTAAATGTATACACAATTCCCTAATTAATAACTTTGAATATATTAATACATAAATAAAAACATGTTCAAGTGTGACGTGCATGTGTTTTGTATATGTAGAAAAACTTTAGTATCAGTTTGTCCAGTTACATATACATGCACACACATAAATCTTAGTATTTATGAAGCTGCATTGAATCAAAAGAGCAATTAAGAAAGATCTGCCATGTTTTTCTGCTCTTTATAGAGCTTATGCTCCTACTTGAACAAGGAACTGGATAAGGACACAAGTTGAATATGGCCTGCATTTGGATTTGGAGTGTTATCTTTGCCCTTCATGTGACTACCCTTGTTAATTTTATGGCCTATATAGCAGACCTCAGAGAAGAAGAGGGCCCAATGTCTTCTAATTTTCTTTTATTTTTTATTATTTTTCTCATTCACATTGTATTTCATAAAACCATTCCCATACACTGTGTCTTAATCACCTTTAATCTATGCCCACTCTTACCCTGTGTTTTTAGATCCCCACTGGATCTTTCCTAATTCCTTCGTTCCCTCCCTCCACCAAACTCTACTATAGCATTATTTCCCCTCTTCCCACCCTTAATCCCCCTGTCCCCTTCCCTTCCATTTTTGGATATCCATACACTTCTTCCTAGTAGTTATCCTTCTGTTTTTACAATAATGGATTTATGCAGTATTTGTCCTTATCAGACTGTTAGTTCACTCAGCATAATGCTCTCCAGTCTCTTCCATATTATGTAGTCTTTTCTAAAACTGTTGCTCCTGAGTGTTACATAGTATTCCATCATGTAAATGTCTTTCTGATTTTTTTTCACTGCATATCCATTATCATAATATAATTTCTTTCTCCTCCCTTAGGTCTGGGCTTGGAGATACAGATTTTTGTTGAGTTGCATGAACCAGAAGGAATAGTGGTGGAGTGTAATTCAGGAGGGTGGTTTCCACAACCCCAAATGGAGTGGAAAGGCAACAAAGGGCATGTCATTCCACACTCAACAAAATTCTACACACAGGATAGAGATGGACTATTTCACATTAAGATAACTCTTCTTCTCAAAAATACCACTCAGAACCACATCACTTGCTGCATTTATAACCCAGTGACTGATCAAGAGAAAAAGGCAAATATTTTCCTATCAGGTGAGTACTTGTGACTTGGTTCTACCTAGAAAGAATTTATATTTTTCCCCAATAAGATGATTAATTAAAGATAAAATTAAGTAAAATAATGAATGAAATTGCTTTATAAACTGTAAACTGTAAATAGATAATATTTAAATCTTAAATTGTTGGGAACAGAATAACACCCTATGATAGAAGATTATTTTAAAAATAGAAGTTATTATAATAATTAGACAAAGAGCAGTCTATCTGTAATGTTGAGAGAAATATGCTACTTGTTATTTTGTAACATTTGTTACCACCTAACTCCCATAAACACTGCTTTTTAACATTCTTAAAAGGGAAATGATAAATGTATGCTTTTTTGAATTTTAAATTCAACATGGAAAGTATAATAGTTTTATAAAATGTAAGGTCTTATGTAGAATTAATGTTGGTTTTAAAATTATAGAGGTTTATAAGTAGTTGTTTTCTAATTTTCTATGTTGTTGTTAAGTACCATCGAGTTGTAGGTCACTGATAGCGACCCTATGAATGAAAGACCTGAACACGTGTATAACTTTCATAGTTTCTCCACTTTCATTGAGTTTCCAGAGGCAAGCTATTTTGGAAGTGGATGCCACTCCTGCTTCCAAGCTTGTTTTGATTGGGGAGCTTCACCAAACACTTGTCCACCTTGGATAACCATTATCACATTTGACACAACAGTGTCACAGTGTTTAGCATCACAGCAACTTTGAGTTATCTCTGTACAGCAAATGGACAGACCACTACCATAATACCACTTAGAAGAATGTTTGACCAAAACCCATTAAAACAAGGCCGGAGTGCCACAGATGAAAATCACCCACCTTTGGCTAGGTAGCATAACTTTCTAGCCACTAGGCAAACAGAGCTCTCTCGTTGTTGTTGCTGTTGTTAAGTGCTGTCAAGTTATAGACAACTCAGAGACCTGATGAGCAAAAGACCTGAACACTTGTATAATTTTCATTGCTTTTAAAAGGATAAGATGTCAGATATGCTCCAAAGATCATTTTCTCTGGAAAGAAAAATGAATTAATTATCATTAACTGGTTGTTTGATTAATTAACATTCAACATTATATTAACATATATCTCCATACTAGTGGAACATTTCTGAATAGAAAAAGGTAATAGTTTAAATTCAATGTACAAATAAGTTCTAGTGGTTGGAAAAGTATAGGGTCAAAGATAGTAGAACTTCAGTCACATGATTGACACAGTGACAGCAACAGTGACCTTGAACATGGTAGAGATTATGAGAATGGTGGAGGATTGAGCAAGGTTTCCATCTTTTGTTCTAGGGCTGTTATGAGTCAGTAATAGACCTGATGACACCTAATAGAAATGACACATGGGGTATCAAAATTCTTGCAAATATTGTCTTGCTTAAGGTTTCTATTTTAACATATATCTATGTGAGGTTTTTATGGTGGAAAGAAAATTTTAATATTTGCTACCTAATCCTGATGATATTATTTAAAACTGCTGCTCTCTGTTTAGCTTATATGTAGTCAGCTTTTATGTAGAGTCAATTCTGATTTGACCAAAATGACTCCGAGCAAATGTGAATAATGATAGGGCAAATGCTTGGTTGATACAAGTTTCTGAACTTGGAGGAATTTGAGTAGTTTCTTCCCTTCCCACCTTTTAGAATTATTTTAATTATTTACCACCTTTTAATTATTTTTTCTTCTTTTATTCCCTTTAAAAAAACATTTTTATGAGAATATTAGCTTTCTGCTGGGAAAATGTTTCTTCCATACTGCTTCTAAAGGAAGTTCCTTTAGAACTTCTGAGAACAGAGAAGTCAGTTCATAATAATTTGATAACCAAAGGCCATCTTAGTTTTACTTCTTGAATTTCAGGCCATTAAATTTTCTTCAAACTTCCTAAATTTTCACCAGGGGTATTTTTTATTCAGTTCTAAAATAATTGGCTTCTCCACATCTTACCTACATTATGATGTTCTGAGCCTTGGAGAGTAATTTATTTTTTGTCTCACAGATAGTCTGCTAGAAAGTTAGAAAATGAGTTATTCCTTATTCAATTTTGTTCTACCCTCAGTCTACTAACTCTGATACCCCATCCTTTCCCTAAGTCCAACTTCTTTGGCCAATAGCCCTGACCAAAGCAAGCCCAGAGTATCACAGGAAAAGCAAGCCCTAAAGGGGATTTCTGCTTCCTCACAGAAATCTTTCTTACCTAACGGAGTGTGGTAGTCCAGTTTCTCTACTTATGAAATCTTTCTGCTCTCCTTTTCAGATATCCTCTTCAAATTGCAATTAAATGTTTCAATGAAGCTATATCCTTTGGGAACTTTGTTTATGGTCCAGCTTTTTCTGTGTGTCATTATAAAAGGTATTTAATGAAAAAAAAATAGTTTTGATGCCATATAGCCTGTAAACAGTTGCACTGCTAACTCACGAGCAGCACTTCTCTGGCGGTTCAAATCCATTGATGATTCCTCAGGAGAATGATGGGAAATCTTTGCCTGTCTGATGTACAGCCTCAGAAATATGATGGATAGTGAGTTATGAGTTGACTCTGACACAACTGAAATGAGTTTTAAATTAAAAAAAGTTAAGAGCTCTGAAGCCATTTCTTTATTTGATGTTAAGTACCTAGATGAGTCTCACAAAAAGGTGTGTACACCTGCATTGCATTTTGCCAAAGAAAATTAAAGGATCTTAAGCTATTCCTAAGGTTAGTCTGCCATCCATTGTTGCTGTTATAGAAGCTACTACTGCAGAGATTACCTGATCCTTTCACAATTATCATTATTTTTACTTTGCATCATTTTCTGGAATCATTGTTTTGACTTCCTACATGATATTTTAAATCTTTTTATGCTCCTAATTCAAATGATCCATAATATTTCACATAAACAATATGAGAAAAATAAATGATCCATTGACTACATTCTTGGTCCTCCTGAATATTTTTTAATTACCTTTTTTTTATGAAATTAACTTGATTTGAAGATATAAAATTTTATACCACATTGGGGGGACAAAATAGAGCATAGAAACGTAGAGAAAGTATCAGAAAGATTTGAAAAATCCTGACATAGAGTTGTAGGCCATGCAAGATGAGTAACAGAAGTGATAAGCTGTGATCACACATTCTCACCTCTTCTTGGAGAAAGTAGAAGTTGATCAAGACATTATAGGAAAAAATTAAAACTCTACAATGACATCATTCTACCACGAGGAGGGTTTTTTTCAGGCTGTTGTCTTGGTTTCTAATTGCTTCTACAGAGAGTCTGTCTGTATTTATTTATTTTAAATATGGAATGCATCACGAATTTGCATGTCATCCTTGCACGGGGGCCATGCTAATCTTCTCTGTATCGTTCCAATTTTAGTATATGTGCTGCCAAAGTAAGCACATGTCTGCATTTCTTCCAATAGATTTTTATGTTCTTGTGGCAGCTTATTATTATCAGCCAACATCAAAATTAAAAGATATTAATTCCTCAGTCTTCCTTATTGTTATTGTATTGAAAGGAATTGGCAGACACAGAAGAATTTCATGAAACAACAGGTGTTGTTGTTGTTACGTGCCCTCGAGTCGCTTGCGACTCATAGCGACCCTATGTACAACAGCCCTAAACTCCACTCTGTCCTGTGCCAAGCGCACTGTCTCTGACACTCCCATCCCAATTATCCCAGTCACTGAATCAATCCACCTCATAGAGGGCCTTCCTCTCCTGC